GTAACGATGGGGACCATAGTATACATACCCACGAACAACAAAGTTAGAAAGTTGAAATCTGGACTTGGAAAAACCGGAAAACTATTTTTTACCTGTGTTACTTTGACAAACTAAACTAACCTAATCTTCCTCGCTCTAATACACGATATCTGAGGCCTAACATAGTACATATGTGTGCTATATTAGTTTGTTCTTCAGCTTCATTTATATTAAAAGAATTCCTTACTAGTCAGTATATTACTATCTAATAGCTAAGTACGTACGAATTCGTGAGTATTGACGACCGTCACAATAGGTACTGTCTCAACAGGAGGATGGGGTTGAAATAATTGATATTTTAACCAGTTAAGATGAATGTGCTGCCAATGGTCCACAAAATGCCACAGGTTTTCCTTAAATAGCTTGATTAAACCAAGTCTTTTGTTCCTCAATCGCTAAAATCTGCCAATGGCAGCACGTAACCTTGAAGAGGAACTTCGCTAATCTTGAAGGAACAATGTCCTCGGCGCTATGCCCCTCGTTAATGACCACTCATTTTCAACAGCCTCCCTCCCATTAGATACATGATCTTGCTGCAATGGGATTCCTTCCTCCATCTGAGGCAGTTAGTGCCACACTTTAAGCCAAGTTGAAAGAGGCAAGAGCCAGTAGTATTACGTACTAAAGTAGGTCAACAGTGGGGAATACCTGATGAGTGTGATAATATCAGTGGTTTTCCCTTTAAGTTCATTTGACTGTTCACCACACACGTGGCCACACATTTATACAATGCCAACCAGCATATATATAGTTTCTTATGTCCTACATGGTCAGTGTTAGATGTATGTTACACAACATATATAGTGGGTTACTTAACACTCAACCACAGGTGATGGAGTGTCTTTACAATAGTACTCTGCATACATATATTCTCGTGTGTGGTAGTGAGTGGGACTAGTGCATGGACCCAGTTCGAAACCTGTAATAATTAACTAGATGTCAATGTAAAGAAAGTCAACCCTATCACAATGGAGCCTGGCCTCAGGCCGTACTCTGGGAGTAGAAGAACACCCAGCACCTTCCTCCAGATATGCTCCAGGTAACTATTTATGTTAAGACTTTAGTCAAGGGAAAATAATAAGTAAGGAACTAGTGTACTAAATCCTTAATCGGCTCCAATTGTTTTCTGCGATTACCTCTTGTCCTCAATTTGCCAAATGCCAATTTTTGTTGGTACTCAAGTTTTGTTAAGTATTATATGGCATGTACTCCACGATGTAGGACTCTTATTTAGCCCAGTCGTTTAGGGGTTAATACACCATTATTGTATGGGACTCACCAGTGTTGCAAGGGACTCACCAGTGTTGCAAGGGACGCACCAGTGTTGCAAGGGACGCACCAATGTTGCAAGGGACGCACCAGTGTTGCAAGGGACGCACCAGTGTTGCAAGGGACGCACCAGTGTTGCAAGGGACGCACCAGTGTTGCAAGGGACGCACCAGTGTTGCACGGGGCGCACCAGTGTTGCAAGGGACGCTCCAGTGTCGCAAGGGACGCACCAGTGTCGCAAGGGACGCACCAGTCTTGCAAGGGACGCACCAGTAGGAGCTACCCAACACTTTACGATTGCTTGAGGCCCAGCCAATAAGGCTTCACTAAGCATGCACAGTTTTGATCGGTTATGTAAAGTTTCTTTGACTTTACAAAAGTTTTGGAATTGCTTTTGAGAATTTTGTAGAAGTTTAGTTTCGTGTAATTAAGCTTCCGTATTTCCCTTGTGTTCAACTTCGTTCAAGGCTCGCAGGACTGGTTAGAGACCGGGCCGGGGGGATATTGATCCTCGAAACCCTCAACGAGTACCTGTCACAAGTGGAGGTTGTTGTGGTCGTCTTCGTTGTTGTCGTCGTTGTTGTTTTCGGTCTTGTTGTTGTGGTCGTCTTCGTTCTTGTGATACTTGTTATTGTCGTTGTGGTCGTCTTGTTGTTGTTGTTCTGGTCGTGTCTCCTGTAATTGTCGTCCTTGTCGCCGATATAATCGTCTCCTCTCTTGTAATTGTCGTCCTGGTCGTCTCCCCCCCGCCTCCTGTAACCGACGTGGTCGTCGTACATGATCTCACCCGTCCCCTTGGCCTGGCCGTGACACCCCGTCCCCAAGGCACCGGAGAGAGAGAGAGAGAGAGAGAGAGAGAGAGAGAGAGAGAGAGAGAGAGAGAGAGAGAGAGAGATGAGCCAGCCTACGGATATCGAAAATCTTCCGGTAGAGCGCTCCGCCTCCTGACTGGTGCTTGGGGGGGGGGGGGGGAATTGGGTGTTTGCCACTTCCGGGATACCATCGGAAGAGTTTACTTGGTTGACTGTGGTTTTCCCAGTGGTGGTAGGTGGATCATTTGCGGGTTTTTGGATTGTATTTGTTACTTTGTGTGTGTACACCTGGAGGGAAGGTGTATATATGTATGCCTGGAGGGATGGAACTTTCACCGATGACAACAAAGAAATTGGCGAGTTACTGAGGAAGCAGTACGACTCTGTTTTCAGCGAGCCACTAAACACACTGAAGATTGATAACCCATATAAATTTTACATGGATATCAGACGTCACCCTATCCCTACTGGATTTTGAAGAAGCCATAAACAGTATGCCTATGCACTCTGCACCAGGCCCTGATACTTGGAACTCCATATTCATCAAGAACTGTAAAAAACCACTATCACAGGCCCTTCACATTCTTTGGAGACAAAGCCTAGACACTGGCATACTCCCTGACATACTAAAAACAGCAGAGATAGCACCACTTCATAAAGGAGAAAATAAAGCAGAGGCAAAAAATTACAGACCGACAGCACTAACATCGCACATCATAACAAAATTTTGAGAGTACTGAGAAGTAAGATCACAAAATACATGGAATCACAGCAACTCCATAACCCCGGACAACATGGTTTCAGAACAGGGCGCTCTTGCCTGTCGCAGTTGCTGGACCACTATGACATGGCATTAGATGCTATGGAAGACAAACAAAACGCTGATGTAATTTACACAGATTTCGCAAAAGACTTTGACAAATGTGACCATGGTGTTATTGCACATAAAATGCGTTCAAAAGGAATTACCGGAAAAATAGGCAGATGGATCTACAATTTCCTGACTGACAGAACCCAATGTGTAATAGTCAACAAAATAAAATCCCGTCCGTCACCCGTGAAGAGCTCAGCCCCCCAGGGTACTGTGCTTGCTCCAGTACTTTTTCTCATCTTCATATCGGACATAGACCAGAACACAACCTATAGCACTGTATCATCCTCTGCAGATGACACTACGATTTTCATGAGAGTAGATAACATAGAGGACACGGCAAACCTCCAATCAGATGTAGATCAGGTCTTTCTATGGGCTACAGAAAATAATATGGTGTTCAACGAGGATAAGTTTCAGCTCATGCGCTACGGAAAAAATTAAAATATAAAAACAGAAACCACGTACAAAACTCAGTCAAATCATAACAGAACGAAAAGGCAATGTAAAGGATCTGGGTGTACTCATGTCGGAAGACCTTACCTTTAAAGAACACAATAAAGTAGCCGTCACAACTGCAAGAAAAATGACAGGATAGATAACAAGAACCTTTCACACTAGAGATGCTATACCGATGATGATACTCTTCAAGACGATAGTGCTCTCTAGAGTGGAGTACTGCTGCACAATGACAGCCCCTTTCAAAGCTGGAGAAATTGCTGACCTGGAGAGCGTGCAGAGATCCTTTACTGCTAAAATCCACTCAGTAAAACATCTAAACTACTGGGACCGACTAAAAAAATTAAATCTGTATTCCCTTGAGAGCAGGCGGGAGAGATACATAATAATCTGTACGTGGAAAATATTGGAGGAGCTGGTCCCAAACCTGCACACAGAAATAACACCACATGGATGGCCTTTAATGGCCTTATTTGTGTTAATTGACTGCTAGGCTATTTAATGTTAAGCAGTAGTGTTTACCATGGATCAATTCTACCGTTGTACAACATTTATACCAGGTGGTAGGTGCTTTTATATGTATTATTGAGGTGGGTACCAGAGGATGTTAAGTGATTGTGCTATGTATGATATTGATTCCTCAACCTCATTTGTTAATGATTGTGACACCACCATCCTGTGTTGGTATTATCAGCATAATAGGCGCTAGTGTCCCACTGCGCCAGGATAGAGCTTGGTGTCAGCTAGTGCTGAATGTGTGCAGTTTTGAGGCCAGTTGATGATCATGCACAGCTTTAAGAAACTGGATAGAGTAATAGAATGTGAGTTATAGAGATTAGTTTTCTTATGGTGTTGTGGTGACTTATGTTATATGCCCCAGTAAACTGGAATATTTTTTGCTAGCCTTTGAATCCCCTTATTATTATTATTATTATTATTATTATTATTATCTTTATTATTTAACGAAGTAATTATTACTTCATTACTTCGTAAAGAATGAATTATTACTTCGTAATGAATTAATTATTACTTTATTACTTCGTAATGAAGTAAGGGCGAAGAGGGAGAACGGCCTATTGACATAGCTCGAGTGCATGGGGGGAGTTGTGTAAAACCCTGGTTTGTGTCTCGGAGAGGCTGCAGGATCCAAATAAGTTCAGTAGAACTTCTGGTTTGAACTCTTTTGACCATGTCGTAGCTCAGTCGATTAAGACAGTGTCTGGGATGTTCTCGGACGTAGGTTCGAATCCTCGTCACGGCCCTTGTGGATTTGTTTCTCAAAAGTCAAGCGTGGCCTCGGGCCGGGCTTGGGGGATAGAACTACCCCAAGAACCCCATCAAGCAGCCATCACCACCAGTCAGTCACCACCAGCACCACCACAGTCAACCACCACCACCACCGTCAGCCACCACCAGCCACCACAGTCAGCCACCACCAGCCACCACAGTCAGCCACCACCACCACAGTCAGCCACCACCAGCCACCACAGTCAGCCACCACACTTTTAACCAACATTTCCCCCACAGTTGAGCGTGATTAGTAATGCCAGTCACCTCACCACATTAACATATCTGATGTAATTAGAGTTTAGTGCTTCACGTGAGCGCTCGTCGCTGCTCTCTGCTTCACACGGCTGCTCGTCACTGCTCTCTGCTTCACACCGCTGCTCGTCACTGCTCTGTGCTTCACACGGCTGCTCGTCACTGCTCTCTGCTTCACACGGCTGCTCGTCACTGCTCTCTGCTTCACATGACTGCTCGTCACTGCTCTGTGCTTCACATGGCTGCTCGTCACTGCTCTGTGCTTCACACGGCTGCTCGTCACTGCTCTGTGCTTCACGTGACTGCTCGTCACTGCTCTGTGCTTCACATGGCTGCTCGTCACTGCTCTGTGCTTCACACGGCTGCTCGTCACTGCTCTGTGCTTCACACGGCTGCTCGTCACTGCTCTGTGCTTCACGTGACTGCTCGTCACTGCTCTGTGCTTCACATGACTGCTCGTCACTGCTCTGTGCTTCACATGGCTGCTCGTCACTGCTCTGTGCTTCACACGGCTGCTCGTCACTGCTCTGTGCTTCACGTGACTGCTCGTCACTGCTCTGTGCTTCACATGACTGCTCGTCACTGCTCTGTGTTTCACATGGCTGCTCGTCACTGCTCTGTGCTTCACACGGCTGCTCGTCACTGCTCTGTGCTTCACGTGACTGCTCGTCACTGCTCTGTGCTTCACATGGCTGCTCGTCACTGCTCTGTGCTTCACATGACTGCTCGTCACTGCTCTGTGCTTCACGTGATCGCCCTTCACTGTGCTTCACGTGCCAGCTCGTCGCTGCTCTGTGTGAGCCTCCTCGAGTTCCTCTCTGTTCTCTCTCGATCACAAATGATTTCATCCACATAAATTTTTAACACGTGGAAATGTATCGAATATTCATTAATCGATTGTTTTCGCTATTGTGCTCATCTATTATAAAATATTGTTATCTTTCAGTGTTACTGCTGCTATCTTTCAGTATTATTGTCGTTATCTTTCAGTATAATTACTGTTATCTTTCAGCATTACTGCTGCTATCTTTCAGTATTATTATTCTCACCTAGTTGTGCTTGCGGGGGTTAAGCTCTGGCTCTTTGGTCCCGTCTCTCAACTGTCAATCAACTGATGTACAGGTTCCTGAGCCTACTGGGCTCCATCATATCTACATTTGAAACTGTGTATGGAGTCAGCCTCCACCACATCACTTCCTAGTGCATTCCATTTACTAACTACTCAGACACTGAAAAAGTTCTTTATAACTTCTCTGTGGCTCATTTGGGACTCAGCTTCCATTTGTGTCCCCCTTGTGCGTGTACCACCCGTGTTAAATAATCCATCCTTGTCTACCCTGTCAATTCCCCTGAGAATCTTGTATGTTGTGATCATATCTCCCATAGCTCTTCTGTCTTCCAGCGACGTGAGGTGCAGTTCCCTCAGCCTTTCCTCGTAACTCATGCCTCTTAGTTCTGGGACTAGCTTAGTGGCATACCTCTGAACTTTTTCCAGTTTCGTCTTGTGCTTTACAACGTACGGGCTCCATGCTGGGGCCGCATACTCCAGGCTCTATGGATATGTCGGCCCCTTTTCTCTACGTGACACTCCGTAAAGAATGCAACTGATTGGCCTACCCAGAAACGTTCGAATCCAAGCTACCCAAGCACATCCCATGGGGAGCCGGTCGGCCGAGCGGACAGCACGCTGGACTTGTGATCCTGTGGTCCTGGGTTCGATCCAAGGCGCTGGCGAGAAACAATGGGCAGAGTTTCTTTCTCCCTTATGCCTATGTTACCTAGCAGTAAAATAGGTACCTGGGTGTTAGTCAGCTGTCACGGGCTGCTTCCTGGGGATGGAGGCCTGGTCGAGGACCGGGCCGCGGGGACACTAAAAAGCCCCGAAATCATCTCAAGATAACCTCAAGATAACCCATCTTACATTTCATGGCCGAGAAGTAGAGAACGTCCGTATCACGGTGGACGAATTTGTACTAATACGTCGCATTTTTTAACGGATTGCTCGATACCATAACAAAAGTATGAGGTATCAAGTGATGGGACCTGTGACATCCCATGCCAATGATGGGAGTAATCTCGTTAGTGGGATCGAGGACGGTAATACAATTGTTATGTGGGCGACGCGACGTAATTTTGTAATGTTAACGCTAAAATACTTTTATTCCTGCGCGGGATAATTGGTAAACAAGTTGGACTAGAATTTGCATATTTAACTGCTGGTCAATTGACAGTGCTTAAATGCAGGAGTTGGCAGTGAATGACAAAATTAATTTATGGTGTGTATTGTTATATAGTTGCTGGGGAGGGGAGGGGGGGGGAGACTGATGATATACTGTGATGAATGTTGGTGGTGATACACTGTGATGAATGTTGGTGGTGATACACTGTGATGAATGTTGGTGGCGATACACTGTGATTGTAACACCGTAAAGGTGTTTTGTTTAGTTTTGTATTTAATACATATATAGTACATGAGTCAAGCCAGACAAGGATTTGAGAGGCGCCAGTCTGTTGGCCTGAAAGTCACACCTCTACAGTGTTAATGACCACCAAGTGACCAAGGTCAGGTCGTGTGAAGTTGACCTTGTTTCCACTAAGCACATAATTGCAGGCTGCTAGCTGGTGGGTCCTTCAAACATGCCGCAAGTTTAAGGAGTGGCTTGGTAGAGGGCCTGAGGCTATCTACTTGTGGGCGGAGTTAGCTAGTTGGTCCCCAAATAAATACTCGGTGAGCTGTAGATTCAGGAGGATAGAAAGACAGAAAGAGACAGCAGACAGGAGAACAACCAGCAGAGCAGAACCGAGAGGCTGTCAGCCGGACGGGGCGGTACAGTCTCTGTCAACTATAGTCCCCCCCCCCCACTCTCTATCCAGCTATAGGCAGACACTTGGTGAGTTGAACATGAAAAATGACGTAGTCGTGTTTACTAGTGTTGTGTGACTATCAGGGGGCAGACGGATGCTGTGTGACTATCAGGGGGCAGACGGATGCTGTGTGACTATCACGGGGCAGACGGATGCTGTGTGACTATCAGGGGGCAGACGGATGCAGTGGTCTCGAATTCTGGTGTAGTGATTCACTTGGTACATTAATAAATAATAAACCTTCAGTTCGATTGCTTGAATTCTGATATTTATCATGCTAAATAAATAGCTGATTCACTTACTTTTAATTTGATTTTAATTGTGTTCCGAGTTCTTGGAATTTCTGTTATATGGCAAACTCGAGTTAGTAACTAAAAGACTCTTGCCTGGAACATGATTCCAGTTAAATCATGCTAATAATGACTTGTTGATACATCTTAGAGAATTTTGTGATACCGACAAGTTCCATTCCTTGTCTTGTATATAATGGTCTTGAATGGATGGTGGCAGTCTACCTTCTACTTCTTCTATCTACTTTTCTACTTCTACCTATCTAACATTGTACCACTACTTCCTATTCATCTCCGTACCCTCTCTCCCTTTCACCTGACCACACTCCTCCCTCCTAGTCCCCCCCTCCTCCCTCACCCCAAATCCTCAGTAATTACTTCATTATTCATCTCTTTCCTTTCGTTTCTCTGATTCGTTCGTGGCAGGACCTGTTTTAGAGTTCTCTGGGGTCGCGGGTTGCTGATCACGTTACAATGCCTTGTGGTCGTGACACCCAGGTAATCAAATACCTGGGTCTTTGATTACCTGGGTGGACTAGAGGGGCTGCAGTAGGGACTCTGGGGGGAACTTTAGACTAGCTGACAGGGGTGGAATAATGGACAAAAGACAGCTATTTCCCCCACCTCGCGTTACATGATGAATGTTGGTGATGATACACTGTGATGAATGTTGATGATACACTGTGATGAATGTTGGTGGTGATACACTGTGGTGAATGTTGGTGTGATACATGAATGTTGGTGGTGATACACACTGTGATGAATGTTGGTGGTGATACACTGTGGATGATAATGTTGAATGTGGATGATACACTGTGGTGAATGTTGTGTGATACTGTTGATGTGTTGATGATACACTGTGGTGAATGTTGGTGGTGATACACTGTGGTGAATGTTGGTGGTGATACACTGTGATGAATGTTGGTGGTGATACACTGTGATGAATGTTGGTGGTGATACACTGTGGTGAATGTTGGTGGTGATACACTGTGGTGAATGTTGGTGGTGATACACTGTGGTGAATGTTGATGGTGATACACTGTGATGAATGTTGGTGGTGATACACTGTGATGAATGTTGATGATACACTGTGATGAATGTTGGTGATGATACACTGTGGTGAATGTTGGTGGTGATACACTGTGATGAATGTTGGTGATGATACACTGTGATGAATGTTGGTGGTGATACACTGTGATGAATGTTGGTGGTGATACACTGTGGTGAATGTTGGTGGTGATACACTGTGATGAATGTTGGTGGTGATACACTGTGATGAATGTTGGTGGTGATACACTGTGGTGAATGTTGGTGATGATACACTGTGGTGAATGTTGGTGGTGATACACTGTGATGAATGTTGGTGGTGATACACTGTGATGAATGTTGGTGGTGATACACTGTGATGAATGTTGATGATACACTGTGATGAATGTTGGTGATGATACACTGTGGTGAATGTTGGTGGTGATATACTGTGATGAATGTTGGTGGTGATACAGTGTGATGAATGTGATGAATGTTGGTGGTGATACACTGTGATGAATGTTGGTGATGATACACTGTGATGAATGCTGGTGGTGATACACTGTGATGAATGTTGGTGATGATACACTGTGATGAATGTTGGTGATGATACACTGTGGTGAATGTTGGTGGTGATATACTGTGATGAATGTTGGTGGTGATACACTGTGATGAATGTTGGTGTTGTGATACACTGTGATGAATGATACACTTGGTGGTGATACACTGTGATGAATGTTGGTGGTGATACACTGTGATGAATGTTGATGATACACCGTGATGAATGTTGGTGATGATACACTGTGGTGAATGTTGGTGGTGATACACTGTGATGAATGTTGGTGGTGATACACTGTGATGAATGTTGGTGGTGATACACTGTGATGAATGTTGGTGGTGATACACTGTGATGAATGTTGGTGGTGATACACTGTGATGAATGTTGGTGGTGATACACTGTGATGAATGTTGGTGGTGATACACTGTGATGATACACTGTGATGAATGTTGGTGGTGATACACTGTGATGAATGTTGGTGGTGATACACTGTGATGAATGTTGGTGGTGATACACTGTGATGAATGTTGGTGGTGATACACTGTGATGAATGTTGGTGGTGATACACTGTGATGAATGTTGGTGGTGATACACTGTGATGAATGTTGGTGGTGATACACTGTGATGAATGTTGGTGGTGATACAGTGTGATGAATGTTGGTGGTGATACACTGTGATGAATGTTGATGATACACTGTGATGAATGTTGGTGGTGATACACTGTGATGAATGTTGATGATACACTGTGATGAATGTTGGTGGTGATACACTGTGATGAATGTTGGTGATACATTATGTTGGCATCACTATTTACCGGGATGATTTTTTTAGCAAGAGGAGGAGGAGAAGAATGGCTAAAAATGTCCAGACTCTACCACCAACTCCGTCAAATGCTGGAAGGGAACTCTCAGGGGAAAGCGCCAAGCCATTGCAACTATATAGCACTGGGAAGGGGGTAAGGATAATGATTTGGGATGGAACGGGGTGAAGGAATGGTGCCCAACCACTTGGACTCTCGAGGATTGAACGCCGACCTGCAAGAAGCGAGACCGTCGCTCTACCGTCCGACCCAAGTGGTTGGACGTCAAATGCTGGAGAGGACACAAAC